ACAAAATGTTATTGTGCAAACTTATTCCTGAAATCAAAAAAGTGGAATGATAAGTTCTAATAACCGTCTCAGAAATGACGGCCTATTGTGTGAGAGTGTTCGAGACGATTCTTTCGTCATACTTCGGACTTGAACGCCATAGAAGGAGAATAGTTATGGGTTAATGGAACAAGTTTGCTTTTGTTTCTCATGTTCGATCGTGTCGTAAACTACGGACTTGTGGCGAGCAAGAAACAAAAAGGTTGGCATTCAGATATCAAGTTCAAAAAAACAGAGCAGTATAATTCCTGTTGGAGCCATCGTGACATGTACACGTTTATTATATTGAAATTACGACATGGGTGGCCGCATTAAACAAAGTACACAAAGTGAATGAAATAAAACTATAGGTCTTGTTCTTATGTATTATTAGGTCTTTTACCTATGGTGTCCTATTTCTGTATAAATAATGAGGTTTCATTTTTTAGGAACCCCCAATTTCTTGATCCGCAGGAGACCTTCGAACACTATGAAAATCGAAGTCGTCCAACCTCTTCACTTTCCTTCGAACCTATAGGTAATAGCCTGTTATTTGCTGAATTAGTTCTTTTATTTCAATTATTTTATTCATTTTTCATTAGTAATTGTATATTTATTTATTTATATTGTACATTTTTTATTTACTGCATGCTCACCAAGATCCGAAAAAAATATCTGGAACCATAAGGAGAACAACTCAGTCCAACAAGCCGCTTTCTCATATGCGCCGTGAACTTTGTTCAGCATCATAATTCCTGTGCATATTGGCGCGTTTGTTGAACCGCTCATACTGAGACTGTGGTGTAAAACAGTGCCTTCATGCTTTAGCACGTGCTTGGGACCTCCATGGTGACATACCTTGCTTGCCCTGTGAGGGCTGAATCCGTGATCATAGCGGTAGCTGCGCCCGCTCCACGTCATCTGTTGTTCCAAACTGCTTCAAAGGCATATGGTAGGATAAGTTGATCGCCGTTAAAAATACAATTAGTAACAAAATGGTGCCATAGCGCAGCAGAAAAAAATCGAGGAAAACGGCTTGAACCCTAACCCGCAGAATGGGCCCTTGTTTTCCTCCAATGGTTTCCGGCTTGGGCAGTCTGCTAAAAGGGCTGGAGGGCAATGTTGTGGAGATCGGAGGCCAGCACAGGCACGAAGGTGAACGGAGGAACGTGTGAAGCTATCAAGTATCATTAACGTCGCTTCGAGCGCGTTCTTCACTCAGAAGCTCCGGTCTCGATCCCAATGCGGCTCGCCCACCATCCAACCTGTATGGTTCGTGTATGCGATTATGAACATATTGTTTCGAAATAGACTGAAAGAAAAGAAGAAAAAGGAGAGAACTTGCCAAAAATCTCCAAGGTCAGGATTTGATACCGTCGTATTGCGACTGTGTAAAGACAATGAGAGACTAAGCGCAGAGAGGAGAGTATGAGTGGAGAGAACTCAAGACGATTAGCCATGTTGCAGGTTGATGAAATGAGCAGATTGAAAGCTGGTCTGGCAAGTCACGTTGCTTGAAATTGCCGCGGACGGAGTGCCACATTTGTGGTTGTTCTCTGGGGTTCTATCAAGAATTCGAAGGGAATCGTTCATCCGTGCTTCCGCCTGAGGCTGCGCCTTCACCATTAAGTATTTCGAATTGGCTGTTTCGTAACTTAAAAAGACAGAAATTGGACTGAATTGTAGAGAACAAAACTAAAGGGAGAACTACAAATGAGGAAAACAAAATGTAATTGAAGTCGGAAAACAAAAACCAAAACATCCAGAAAGAACGTGTCAATAGGAGGAAAGAAATTTGTTGAAACCAGTTGCTAAAAAATTGAAAAAGAGAACTCTCATCGGATTGTTCAGTTCGCTTATCTCTGCCTTTTCCCTACTCTTCTCCTAATCTTCCAGACTAATTTTCAAATGATCTCTGATCAGGAAAATTGTAAATTAAAAAAAAATGTTCGTGATTTCAGGCTCTCATGGAAGGCTAGCATGTGAATATCGAGCCGCTCCTCCTCCATCAGGTATGATTAGGTTCAAACGCTCCGAAAAAAGCACAGATATATTTGAATATCTCACCTCAAAAAAATAATAATATAAAATTTTGAGCAAAAGAAATATGAAAGACGCCGGGATGTGCATGTTATGAGGGAACAATTTTCTCAAAAGCACCATCAAAAAAAAAAAAGAAAGTTCAAAAATAAGCCTGTACAAACCACTATTTCAGCTTCTCATGGAAGGCTCGCTTGTGAGTATCGAGCCGAACCAGCACAGCCAGGTAAAACACACCAAAATACTTGGAACGGCCTTCTATTGGGTTGGAGCATAATATCGTAGCGTTTTTCGAGCGCACAAATTAATTCAGTACAAGTATTAACCGAAAAGCGGCCCATATTATTTGAAAGTACTTTTCCCGCTCTACAAAATCTTAGTTGTCATGTTCTTCAAAATTGGAGCTGAACTCAGGTATAGAGCTTGGAAGTTGGAAAATTCGGACGGCGAAAATCTGTGTTTCGACAGCTGCTATTCTAAGATCTAAATAAAGAAGAAAAAATGCCAAATTGGAAGTTCCGAAAAAATTCATTGCTCTAATCGAACCTCGCTTTAACCGAATCTGCCTTTTTTCGCTCAAATCAAAACCATTTCAATCTCGCACAAATTGAGAATAGTAAGGACTCCGAAAACTAGCTCTATATATTTTTCAAATTCTATATCCGGTGATCTCTTGCGAAATGCAATCGGAGTTGTAAATAATGACTAAGTGAAGGTCGCTGAGTAATTTTGTTTTTATTTTTTGCTTTAAACGTTTGTGTGCAGAAATGAAAAATGCAAGCGCTACGATATTATGCTCCAACCCAATATTTCGATATGCATCTTACGAAGAGTTGAAAAGTTCAGATCAGAGGCAGAAATAAAATTCAGAAATTCTGAGAACTTTATGACATTGGAAAAGGGATCCAAAAACTTTATTAAATGTAGAAAGTCTTATTTTCCCTGCATACGAAACGTTGTTCCAGCTTCTCATGGAAAGGCTCGCCTGTGAGTACCGAGCCGCACCACCTCAACCAGGTAATGAAACGCTCTAAAAAATGCAAATGTTCTAATAGGCTTTTCTCGGTAGCTTCCCTACAGATTTTTGCGAAAGGCGTTTCGATAACTTTAATCCGTGAAATGAAATTTGAAATTAATTTAGAAATTAAATTTACTTTAAGTGAAATAGTCATAAAATTAAATTTCCTGGGATTATAGCGGGAGCGATAGAATTAATGTGAACAGTCCATTTGAATTAAGTGAATTGAAGGTGTATGGCCTCGTTAGTGCAGCGGACAAATATAGTGCTGAGAGAAAATACTTGCGAGTTCGAGTCCCATCCTGGTCGAAGCGTTAAGCAAATGATTCAGCATTCCTAAAATACCACTAGAATTTTGGAATTTCAAAATATCCATCTAACTGACGCTTTTCGATGGTTAGTGAATAAGTGCGTGTGCCTCCTTTATAACAGTACTTCGTGTGGCCTACCTAAGCAAGCGCCACCTTCCTTTCTGATTGTTTGTGATGACTTTCACACCCCTGTTTTTCTATTGAGCCACTAAGTTGTGACCATCGCAAATATCCATCTATTTCACAACACTTCATTATTTGCTGTAAGTATGGTGTTGTGTGTTCCTCTATGCACAGTAAGGTGGGGTGGAGATTGCATGCAGGGGCGGAGCTTGTGAAGGTCAGGGATGTGGTGCGCGTGGACATGGCGTCACGTTTTTGTAAGCATTGGACCATTTAGAAAGTGTCCGATGTGTGATGTTGAATTGAATGTCCTATAACCTATACAGCTTTTGAAGCATTACTGCACTTTTGCATACCATAATATTTGGAATCTGGTAAAGCCAGCAGTTGTTTGTTAGGGAGTTACAGAACCCTGGCCCAGACTGTGCCACTCCTAGTTCAAAGAGCCATCAATGTATCATACTACCCACGGAATTGTATATTGAAGCGTTAGGATAGTTGTGATCACAAAATCGAAGCAAGTGATGTCTATTCAGGCTCAAATGGAGTGATGGCGTGCGAATATCGAGCAAATCCCGTTTCAGGTACTTCATCTTGTGTAGAAATTGAGACTTTGTTTGAAACCCCTTTTCACGGCAACCATGGTCGTGGTGGGTCGTGGTTACGAGTATCGCAAGCTCCAAGATTTTCCTTTGCAACGATACTACATACTGTGGAAAGCAACCCGCGCTGCGGTACCTATTAGCACTCCCTTGGGCAGCGTTACCGGACTCCGCCCATATCGATTGCCTTTCCGGCGCTTTTTCCGATTGAAAGCATCAGACTTACACTGTAATTACCGACGGGTAGCTTGCCGTATATATAAACTTAATGGCACACGTAGCGACGGAACCAAGTTTGATCGATATCGCGCGTGTTTTTGTACCATTTGATGCTTCATATGTTTGCTAATTCTGAAAACTGCGACATGCTGGAGGCCGGCGTGGGTGTCTGTTATTGTCCATTCAGTAAGAGAACTTTTAATTATTTGAGCAGGATGATGAGGAACTCGTTTTCAGTTCATCTGCTGGGCTCAATGAGCCACTAGCTATAAATAACCAATTTTTCGGATCTATATATAGGTCAATAACCCGATTTTCCGTGAAGTTTTCAGTTGAAGGTCTGAGGTCTTTATAATGAACATGATACCAATTGGTGGTGCTGGCACTATTTGGAGCAAATTTGGAAGCTCCAACCTAAATGCAAAAATTTTGTCATCACGAGGGATTGAACCTTGGACCATTTCCTCACCTTTTTTGGCCTTCGCGGGGCCGCTCAGCGAAAATGGACCTCGGTTTCGTAGTCCACGCATGAGCTCCTATAACATGCAAAAAACCGTTTCAAAAAGCGTTCCACACCCTGAACGACCTCCCTTGTCAGACTGTGGAAGTCCATTGCTGGCACATATCAAACAATGAGAACGATGTTGGATTTTTTTTCGTCCTAGTAGTGCGCATCAGGTATACCGAAAATTACCCAATACATGCGAAGTGCTCATCTGCCAATACAGGGGTGGCCAAAAAAGCCACACTTCACTCCACATTTCAGACACCATTAATCACACTTTGCTAAACTCAAATTGACTGCCCGTAGCTTAAAGGCAAAGGTCGGGCTCAGGCACGCTAGAGAAGTAATTCCCGTGCCTGGAGGTTGTATGTGGGTAGCTGCACACATTGCAGCAACTTGCCACTTG